ATCTTTCTCCTTCTGCATTTGATCCAAGAATCGACAAATATATTCTTAATGCAATGTGAACGTTAGGAAAAGTATTCACAAGTTTATCTTTAATTTGAGCCTTCAACATTTCTTGTGCAGATTTATGTTCATATAAATTTGAAAATAGTAAAAATTCAGCTACAAAGTTTTTCTCTAAATCGGATGAGTAAACTTTCAAAAAATTTTGCGCTTTTAGTTTAATCTCAGATTTTGACAAATTTTTGTGTAATTTTCTTGTAATTCGGGTTCGATAAAACATCGATTAATGACACTTTTTGGTCGATCCAGAAAACTGGGAAATTCAGACATCCGGGATAGCGATGGTCCCGAGCATCCCAGATAATTGGTTCTCTACTGTATAAATATTTCTTGTAATTAATCTCATTCTCAATTTCACTGTTTTCTTTGCTGGTTTGTTGTTGTATTGTTGACGTGAAGTGTTTACATAGTTATCGATCGAACTAATCATAATGGTATTATCGATATCAACTGCAATATCGGCAGTATGTCGGTATTGCAGATAAAGTTCAATAAACAAATTCGTAAATTAAAATCCATATTAATAAAAATGCAAAAAAAAAATATGCAAGCAAATTTTAGCATATATTTTGAAAAGAGGGGAGGGCCCAAAAACGGCTATGCCTAGGGCCTACGAAAGGTATAATCCGGCTTTGCTCGTGACCCATTCATTAAAAAATAAATACAATTTTAACAGTATAATTTGATTAGATATCGGGACTTTAAAGATGGCGAAAAATGCGTTGTTTAGAGACGCTACGACGGATGTGCGCATGCTTCGGCTCAAAAACCTTTTCTTGTCTTCTCACATTATTCTTTGATTATGCTTTCACCAAAGTAACAAACCGGGGATATTTTTGGCCAGTAGTAAACGGAAATGAATAACTTTAAACAAACCTGGAATGAGAGAGAGATCACCAGACTTCACACTTGTTCTTGGGATTCATACTACTCTTGGAGGAACACTTGAACTCTTTGGCAAAGTCCACAGAATTGGACAATGTGCCGATCACCCTGAAACAATTCATTCATTTATTATTATTATAGTACTCGTGTTTACAGTTTTTCAGCTACATTTTAAGTACTTTTTAAGCACTCAAAAAATAGAACCACTTTCCACAGGAAAAAAAATCATAATTATCATCTCTGCAGTAATAAAAAATAGTGCGAGGAGTCCCTCCGCGCGGAAGAAGTGAAACTTCGTAATGTGGAAATGAAAATAGGAAGGGGTAGAAATTGATTTTTAGTGAAATCATATTGTTTCTTTAAGACAAACTTTATTAACAATGCTTACAATTCACAATTGATCGCATCTTTTAATTATCATTTTCGAGTGGAGAAATATCCAAGTCTATAACATTTACAATGGGATTATGATAACTAAATAAAGATACGAAATGTTTGAGTTCTACTTTTTCAATATTTCTTGCAAAAACTGCATCAATGGTAGTTACCCCTTTGGTTGTTGGATCATTGCTACCATTTATCATTTCCAATCCAAATTTGTCTTTAAGGAAGGTTAATAATGTTTCAGGAAACGAGAAATTCACATTAAAATCTCCTGAAAGGATCACAGGCCGCTCACAATAATCAATTTCTTCACCAGTAACGTCTGCCAGAGCTTGTGAACCTGCAGTGGATAGTGGTAATAAAGATTTTGCAATAAATAATTTAATATCCCTCATGGCTGCATTTGGTGAAATATAAATGGCAATTAGAAAAGAGAAAACCTAACAATCAATTGATATTCACAAGAGACGTACCTTGACATAACCTTAAATCCGTCGCATTGTCCGTGGGATTGTTTTCACTCATTTTTTACATTTGTTATCCACTAGGTTTGAAAATAAAAAATACCACCCTATTAAATTATATATGTATCAAATCAAACTAAAATATTTATAGAATAACAATACTTTTATTATTTTTATGCTAGTGAGAACCAAAACAATATGGAAATGAATAAGGGAAAACTGGATCCTACCACGTGATTTCCCGGCCAATAAAAATATAGCGTTAAACGTTTAACGCAACCTTGTTGGAAGTCGCATAAGAAGTATCACTTCAAAAATTATTTTTTTTAAAATCGTTTAAAGAGCCTTGTATATAAACCTAAAATCAATAAAATTCAAAAGCATTTTCATAAACTTTACATAATCATGATAAAAATAACTAGTTTCTGATAAATAGGGCAGAAAGGAAGCCGGGATAGCCTGGTTGGTAGGGCACTGGGGCCATGTTCAAGAATTCGTGGTTTCGATCCCCGCTGGCCGAAGACTTGTAGTAAATGGTGATAGATGCACGTTAAATCTGTCGGGTCACGAAGTCCTCCATGTTCCCATGACAAATCAATACCTCTGAGGGTACTGATCCACGAGTTTCCTTGTCTTCCGGATTGGTTCAAAATGGCAAAGCTACGGAGTTTAACATCAGTAGTCGCAAACCCAGAAATTGGGTCGGCTGTTCAACGATGGATATGAAAAAAAAAAAGATATTGCTGATAAAAATTGTGAAAAATCATGCATTTTCTGTAATTTAGAACGACAAATGATACGGCAAAGAGAAAATCGCTTTTTAAAAGATAGAAAATTAAGCCCTTTTTACAAACCCCGAATTAAAAAAGCACCTTTAAGCACTTTTTAAAAACGTTACGCACCCTGCAGGATGACAATGACTTAGCAGGGGTGGCAATAGAGTTGGATTTTGAAATTGCGTGAATATGAATAGCGATATTAGATTTTAAAAACGCGAAAATACGAATTGCAATATTGAATTTTTAAATCCCGTAAATTCGAATTACTGTGCACAATTATTAGATCGCGTAAATACGAATCGAAAAGCTGGACTTTAAAAGCATGTGAATACGAATCATGGCATTGGATTTTAAGCGTGTGTAAACACGATTCGTGATATTTGGTTTAAAAAAAGCGTAAATGGAAATCATGATTGTGGATTATATTGCATAGCATGAATAGGAATTGCAACGTATGATTATAAAATAACGTAAATACGAATCACATCGCGTAGCGTAAATCAGGTGAATACGAAAATCGATGTTTCATATTAAATTTGCGTGAATAAGAATCATAACGCATAGCTCATGATGTTTAAAATGACGCATCATCCATTCATATTCACGAAAACCTCACATTGGGATTCATAAAATCACGCACTGAAATTTATATTCTCACAATTTAAATAAAATCGTTAATCGATATATATTGATAATATTCTTAATAATACTTTTCCTATATACACTTTTTTTCTTGCACACATTTCAGGTATTATTGCATTTTTTCAAAAATATATTATCCACGTAACATTTCATATTTCTATTTTCAGCTCTTTTTTGTGTTTTTTTACCAAACTCATCCCTGCATTTAAACAATACGGACTAATTAAAAAAAACAGAGAACTCACCGAACTTTTTACAGCATTATACTTTTAATTTTAAATGTTATTTCAAAAAATTAGTATTTAGAAAAATGATTTATGTTCACTTAAAAATCTTGATAGTATCATAAGGGAAATATTTGGACGTGGGCTGCTCTAATTCGTTATAACTGATTCGTAATTTCTTTTAAAAATGAAGGGCTATGAAAAGTAACATTTGGAAAATATTATACGTTTTTAAGAGCATATGCTGTAAATAATTATTTATTCCAATAAGTTAAATCAAACTTGTTTCATTGAAAAAAAGAATTTCTCAAAAATAAACGAGTCCCATAAAGCATGCAACCTTACGCAGGGATGAGAGTAGTCAGAAAGTAAAAAAGAGGAAATCCAAGAATGAAAGAATATACGTATATATATATATGTATATATATATATACACACACAAAAATTGGACGAAAAAAGTGCGATTTTAGCCATGTGATTATAAATCCCGACGATTAATTNCGACTCAGCGCGACCCAAGAAATATGCTTTGCGACCCAATTTTGGGTCGCGACCCATAGGTTAAGAACCGCTGCCATAAAGCATGCAACCTTACGGCAACCTTGTATCGGAATTTTCGTTTTAGTGTCACGAAAATGTTTGTACTAAAAACCTTTTTTCTAATAATCTGTATTTATATAGAAGCTGGTTTTCCAAGGTTTTGGATGAAGGTAATGTGGGTAGATTGTCACAGATTGTTAGATTAGAAGGTTTACACGTAAACCGCATGACAAGGTTTAACATTAAGTGGTTTTTGTTGAGAGTGAGCTACCTGAATTTGGCTGGACTGTGTGGATCGTTTATGACTTGTAGGTGCATGGCTTCAGGAGTACTCGTAGAGCACCAGACTTGGGCGAATCCAATAAAGAACAATTGATTATTGGTTAGAGGTACTGCAGGTAAGGGTAATTCGGGAACATTGTCACCAATCCACTCTTGATAAGCCTAGACAAACAAAATAGTATTAGATGTGTAGTATTATTCTTAATCGATAATGAATCGATTAAGCAATATGATAATAAATCATTTCTTGTATGTTGAATGGCAACAGTCTGCATGAAAAATAGAACAGCTATGGTGAATAAATATTTGCTAACCTTCTGAATAAGTCTATCTTGTATTAAAGTGATAAAACAACACTTCAGATGTACCTCGATTGGACGATTCGGACATCCATTCGTTAAATCAAAGAAATTTGTTATATCAATTTTTGTAAAGAGTATGGTATAAAAATATCAATACCCTTAGAGATACAGATATGAAATTATTTTTTACTATGAGCTTAAAAATTATACTTTTTAGGAAATCAACTTTAAAATGATCTTAATTCTTTAATGCTATCTTGCTTTTAAAACTGAATGCATCCATATAATGACACACTCGGCTTAGGGTATGAAATATACAAAATTGTAAGTGCGAAAAAAATAAAAGTTTTAGTTTTATGTGCGATTTTTTTCTCCAGTGATTGTTGTTCGTTCAATCAAAGCTAAACATTCGTTAAATGAGAGCATTTTAGAAGCTTTTTTGTCGAGACAGAAAAAAGCATTCGTTAAATCAAAGTGCTTTAAATCGAGATTCGACTGTATGTTGTTGTTTGATAGGCGAACAATCTAGATCACTGATTTTCAACCCCTGTGCTGTGGCACGTTTGTGTGCAGCCAGTCTTTGTTATTAATAGCTGAAAGAGAAAATTAGAATAATTCTGCGAATCAAATGACATTGTTGCTTTTATTTAATGCAGTTTTTTTATCAGTCTTAATTAAAAGCCTTCATAGTTCGAATTCTTTGTTTTGTCTTTCTATAGATAAAATAATCTGATGAATATTAATAATAATAGATGGATAAAGAAACTGAGAATTTATATTTTAAATAAAAACATGCTTATAGTAAAATAGGACCCTGAAAATGGGAAGTTCTGGGATGAAAATCTTTCAAAATTATTGTTAAAAAGAATGGTTCATTCAACAGAAGAAATTTATACTCACGTGGAATGCTGCTTTGAGGCCGCCATTGTCAGCAATATTTTCTCCAAGTGTCTGCTTACCATTCAACTAAAAACAGATAAAAGATGAAATTCTTCCCTCCCAAAATAAACTGTTTTGCAAAATACAAATTTAATTTTGGAAGGAAGAATTTCTACATTCACAGGCACACGCTTTTTAACAAATGTTGTTCCCTCCTCACCCCCCTCACACTTTATAAATGAAGGGTCCCTCTTAAGATTAACATTTTTCACTCAATATTTGTGTCATTAAATTTACAATTCTNTCTTCTTCACTCGACGACTTAAATCAGATTTCTGATGCATCGCTTGGAATGAAAGTTGCTGTATCGGTTTGCCGATATAGGCGTTAAATCGATATGTCGCGATATATCGATTTATAGCCCAGTCCTATTTGTGTCATTAAATTTTCAATTTTTGATTTCCATTTTGTGAGGTTCTGAGAATCGGTTATATATTGAGTGATATCTCTAAATCCTGAAACAAATCCTGAACAGATACTGCTTTTCATTATTCACTAGCGCGGTATATATTTTGTTATATTTGAATCTGATTTTGTCTCATAAGATTTATATCTACTCACATGATGTGTTGACATCATGTGAGTAGTCTTAAATTTATTAAGAGAAAAGCTTCTGAAAATCTAGATGAGGGTGAAGCTGAATGGATGCACCTTGTTGTATGTCTCAGTTCTTCCAATTTTTGCAGGTATGGGCTGATTATATAAGTTCAAAATGTAAATTTTATCAATACAATATTAGAAAGCACTCCTTTTTGCGGATATAATCGTGCGAGCTGATTAAAAGATTATATCTTTTTTTCCGCATTTTCATTAATTTTTTTTCTTTTTCTTTTCTTCGGATTCTTATTATTTTATTCTTTTTCCCTTTAAATATATATATATATATATATATACTGCTGTGAATGACCGAAATTGATGGTTGTGAACTTCCACCGGTGAATATTGGCAGTCACATAGTCTCTTTGGTAAATTTCCAAAATATATACTAGGCTGTCACTGCCCGGTTTGCCCTACATCAAGGTTTTTTAAGGTTCAGTGCCACTGCTCGATATACATTTGCCCGGTATGCCCTACATCAATATTATTTTAAGCTGAAGTGCCATTGCCAATCAAGCATTTAATCGGTACTCCGAACACTGACACTTCTCCTAATCTGTCCTCCTCAGCAGGTATTGAAATAGGGAATAAATATATAAAATCCAAATAAATTAATTATGCAAATAATCCGATATAACAAGTATTTCGGACTTTCACCAAAGCGACTATGTGATTGTCAACATTCACCGATGAAGGCCAACAACCACCGATTTCGGTCATTCACAGTAACATGCACATCATTTACATAATAACCTCATCAGGACGTTTATTTCATACTTTGCCTAAATAGCATCCGGCATTA